GCAGCCAACAACCAGGTCGTAGTGGAAGAGGACCATGTTCCCAATAACTGGATCTTTTACAAGTACTGTTATTACCCCTGTAAGTGCATTGGGTTTTTATTAAAATTAACAACTTGACTTAAATTATAAACAAAGAATATGTACCACTAAATGAAGATGTTGTCATCATACATACAATATAAAACAATTTTAGTAATCAAATTTATAAGTTAAAGTTTAGGTTTCACTCAGAGACTCAGACAAGAAAACAAAACTTTAGGGGTTTAAAACCATATACCTGGGCATGGTTCAATCATTCCAGAAATGTTCACGACCCAGAAGGTGCTGTTACGGAGCAATCTTGCCACCAGCGAGTGATCATTCCTGATAGATGTTGCCTTAAAGAAAGAACGCAAAACAGACCTGGTCCTTGAAACTTTAATGCCGAAGTAGGGAGGGTTGGTTTTGTTCCTCAAAATAAAATGGCGGTGCGGGTCGTCCGACTGGACGAGTATACCCGGTGTCTCCTCCCAAAAACGGTCGCATTTCTTCGCCGCATTTACCGAGCTCTCCAAGTCAAGATCACAGGATTCTTGTGCTTTGAAATAGAAAAGACGACATGATATGATATCTACGTCAGAAAAATGCCATCAGTGCAATTAATGAACAATATAGAACATGTTCCTTGCCATGATATTCTAGGTGTTTTAAGTACACGTGATACATAATGTGTTGTTAAGTAGAATAAGCCCAAGACTGAATATCGAACAATTTGCATGGACAACCTACCCCAAGTTTGACTGTTTATTCCAAACGGTACTTTTGGAACAACGTGTATGCCAGACGTCCAATCAAGGACCCTACTACCAAAATCCCTGTATCTTCCGGCCTGATACCTTGGCTTTCCTGATCTGATATTGGTTTTTAATAAAGTCACTTGGGTCTTGATCCCACTTCCATAGTAAACGTCTAAAAACTCATGCCTGAATGTGAAAATGCAACAAGATCAGGAGTGGCGAATCGACACTTGTATAGTAAGGTAGTCAAAGAAAACTTAATTAAATAAATTGTTTACACATTAAGCAAGTGGAATCTTATATGGGACCATACGACAATACAGCACCTCACTATTCCCGTTGCGTGTTCAAAGTCTTTCTTCTTGAAATAATTTTCTGCCGTCATTTGAGTACCATGCTGCAGCCGCCTGCCATTTTTGAGGACTTCGTACTGCAGACGATATATTACGCCATTCTGCTGTGATTTCACGTGACAGTAGACGTCATCAGAGAATAGTGGGTCCAAAGAGAATACCACAACCGTGCCCTTTCTACATCTGTAAAGGAGATGAACCGTTTTGTCCTAAACTTTCCTCCATGTTTTAATTTTCAGAAGTGGAATAAGTTATTTTGATTAAATAGAAAAGTAAAGATTTAATATATATAAATTGTCGTTCGATGGTATAAGCAACTTTATGAAAATGGGTTTCAGATATGAATGTCAAATGAAACTTGTTGATAATCCTAGGACAATAAACCATCTTCATTGCATAACCTGGCATTTAAAGGCTATTGCACAACTAACAAATTACCTTATGCGCTTTGGAGCGCATTCATCGGCATGCGTTTTGCATTCAGAACACTTCTGTATAACGCAGCACTTAAGGCAGTCTCTCAAACGCGGACTAAATCCGTTCTCGTCATCCTTCGTGATCCTACACCTAGGGTTGATTTCGGTGCTGAAGCTGTGAGCGCATTGCTCAGTGCACAGACCACAGCGGTCGTTCAGATTTTTACATCTTTTCAAATAATAAAATTGAATGAAAAAATGCATGAAAGTATTAAATGTATTTTCTTCATGTTAACACCAGCACAACTCCAAAATTACTTTCACGAATGAAGTGATATTGTTTATACGTTATTTTACTAAACGACAAATGGCACTTACACAAAAACACGAAAAATACCAAAATAAATGTACATGCGCCGATTAAGTAATAACCTCAACGTTTCGTGTCAAAAATGAAATGAATAATATTTTTAAATGTCAGTACATAAATCCAAGCCTCAGCGCATGTACCTTTTGTCAAAATCAACTCTGACAGCTTGGAATTCCTTTAAATCCGTGTCCTTATTAAACAGTCTCGTCAGCATTCCTGGGGTGGCACACGCCAGTCCCTGGGTCACGAACGGAAGGGGCGATGTTCCTATAACACGGCCATCTTGTGTCCTACATGGAGTATCTGCTGTGCGGTAAAATCCATCTTTGCAGTTTGCGACCTTATTTGACATTATTTGCTGAGAACAGTTTTGATAACTTGTGAGAGTCGTGACTTCCTGCATAAAAATTACATATATTATTTGAAGACATTTGTTGTGAAACCGTAAACGTGTGGCCACAAGTAAATATTCCAAGTAGGCCTACATGTACACTGTAGATATTTAATTTTTAATGATCACATTTCCTTTTTTCTCGCCAATTGTCTTCCTGTTTTTTTTTTTCGTAATAATTATTAATGCTTCAAAGGTAAACGACCTTATTATTATTATTATTATTATTATTATTATTATTATTATTAAACAGCGTCATGTGACCTTACAAGTATAGACATAACGTCACACGACCTACATAAAGGGCGCTAGTTAACTACCTACCGGAAAACTAGAGACTCTCAACATATACGCTGATGGCATTGGGTATTGGCATCGACTTTTATATTCACTTGTGGTTCCTCTGTTGGCGTTGTCGTTGCCAGAGGAATGGTCAACAGAAGTATACACAGGAGACACGTTCAGAGCCAGGATCCTAACACGAACACTTAAACCTGAACCTTGAAACAAGGAGAATATGGTACTACACTGAGGTTACTGTATTATATCGAACTATATTGTAATTAAGTTGTAACTAATTCTTCTAATAGCATACTACTTTAATACTTTTTCACAGAAACTCAAGGGATGAACGGCTAAGACAGCAAACCTCACCTCGATTTAGGGTATATTCTGTGCCAATAAGATTAGAGGCGTTTGTAGCGTTCAATATCCCCGTACTCTTAGTGTCCACGTTTCTGCGATCTTCGTACAACAGGACGTTCTTAGAAGTGACCAGTGGCTGTCCGAGGTCACTTAAACCTGGAAAAAGGGAGTTAATATTGCATCAATTGAACTTTCGTAGTTGTAACGATTCAGGTTAGCAACAACTGTTTATGAATAGGGCCTATACTATATAATGATGCTGTAGTACGTACACGTCGATCACATTTCCTTTTTTCTAAATATGAAGATTTTGAAGATTGTGAAGATTTCCCACAACACTCCTTAATCCTAGCACCAAATAATGCAATATTTGAATGTAAAATATTAGAAGACAGCAATACAATATAATACATTACACTATACAATACAATGTTTAACTCAGACTGTTATTTATGTATACCTCTACAAACGCGGTCTGTTGTCCCGCCACATGCAGTCGACTCGTATTCCTCTCTGCCACACTTCGGTTTGCAGGCTAACGACAGGCATAAAAAAAAAAAGACTTAGCAAAAAAAAAAAAAAAAAAAAAAAAAAAAAAATATAAATATAAATATATATAAATAAATATATATATATATATATATATTT